TATTACGATTAAGTGTAAATGCGAATAGGACACGTAAGTAGTAGCGCATGTGCTTAGACAGTGAAGAGTACGGGACCCACAAGCAATCATCGGAGGGGAAATGCCAGCCTGGCTTTTTGACAGAACATTTTCCATAACCATCTCCTCCTCTTTTGCTTCCACACATTTTAATTTCTACACCCATTTTTGTATATACATTTATCATCATATACTGATAAAAAAATCTAATGAATCTTATAATGGGGAAGACCAAATTAATGTGGAGAATTCAATTATTAATTGCATATGATTGTGGAAATTACACAAGATGTGATTTGATTTTCTATTGACGTATGAGACCAAATCTTGTAGTTGTGATTGTTCTAATTAATTAATATAATGTATGCATAGAGAACTGATATCATGAAGGATAATATATATAGTTTGTTATAATTTTTTTATAACGTTTTTTAGCAGCTGAAGATATATGATGGCTTTCTATTTTATGAGGTTGTGACTTGTTTTTTTTCTTCTTTCTTTATTGATGTTTTATTTCAAACACCTTTCAAATTTCTTAGATAAACGTATAGAGAAAGTTCATGCATGTGTGGAAAATCATGGTCTTGACTTTAATTAACGTTCTTTAGTGATTTATGTAATAAACTACATGCCTATTAGCCTATACATATAGATTTGAAGTTTTAGTTACAAAGTCATCAATTTGTAATTAGTTACTTGGTCTCTTTCATATTTGTTGGAATCTTATGAACGAGGCGGGCGGGTCATATGCTTATGTCAATATCCAAGAAACGAAATGATGATCTTTTAATCTTTAAGTCGTGTGGTCACTATAATTATGCCAGGTGATTTCCCGTGATCAATAAGTTCCAAAAACTACTTAATTACTCGTTAGTAATTTGTGTTATTTTTACCCGATACTCTATTATCGATTTAGGGATCATCCTTTTGGCTTTCTTGGACGCAAAATTAGCTGTCTAATTTTCAAAACAAATAATGTAGTAGTCCTCTAATATTCCCCACGACTTGTCCCCGACTTCACTCTAATAAATTAAGTATGAGATATATCTATTATCATCAGTCAAGCTGAATTAAATCGCTGTAAG